GTATGTTCGATTTCTACTTGCCCCCGCTGAACAGATATATCACGTGCGCTTCGTCCGTGCTTGGCCTGTTTTAGATCATCTCCCTTCACGTACCACCGCGGAAGATCTGGAGGGTGGTACCAAACGTTCCTCCGTCAGCAGGTGCTGAGGTCCTTTGAGATCCTCCGAAGGTCCTCAGAGGTCGGTCTTAGAAGGTTCCTGCGAAGATTTGCAGCGATCTCCGAAAAATCTAGCCCACCATTTATTAGCCAATTTGGGCCCAGGTTTCGTTAGCGGCCAGTTTAGGTGATTGTTTCGATGGCGATTACTGAAGGAAGCACTAGGAAGAGATTGGGTGATCACAGGTGAAATAATTGTATGTACTTTCGGCTCCATCTGTCGCGTTGGCACGTAAACCATGTTTTTGTCAGTTAACTCTCCGGCTGTGGTCAAGTGTTATGAAGTCTTGAGAAGATGGAGTCCTGAAAAGGACTCGGTGATGTTTGGTTTTCAGCCATGTGCGCGACATAACCCGAATCTGTACTTGGAGCTGTTGAGATTTACTGCAGTCTTCTGACTGCGAGACCAGTGCTCTACCAAATGAACTAACTGAGAAGAACCCGCCGCCCCACAAAGCTAGATTATGCGGGTGCTCGACTGGCAAGTACGTTATGTGATCTGTCGTATAATGCTGCGTGTCTGGAAAACCAGGAGTCCGGGGTTCGATTTCTGTCGGTGCCCGCTTTTCCTGTCAGCGTGAGAGACAGGCGACGCCATATAGCCTCTGCAGTTGAGTGCGTCGTAAATTCCCAATGACCACGACGATTACCCCATCAAACTCTAATCGTTCCCAATCCTTGCAAACGAATAGGTCCTGGGGATGCGACCTCTTGCCCGTGTGGGATATTAGTCCTTGGTGTGTTATTTCTTACCAGTATGAGCTCATCGCCGCGGAAGATGGAGCCGTAGCAAATATTTGCGGCTATGAAAAACGCTCTTAATCAGATTCATGTTCTTCGAAAGTCGTATAAATACGTTGTGGATGGCTTAGGCATGTTGGGCACGTTAGGGATGCTGGAACCAACGGCACGAACAATGCCTATCTCAAGGAACAATGGGGAGAAATATCTGTGCAGTTGCGCTCGTACCGACGACTACGCAGAACCGCACCAATCAGTCTCCTTAATCTGATTCCAACCTGAACCCTGGCAACGGTGTCGTACTCGTGCCAGGAGACCGTCTCGGCATTTGACCGTTTCTGGGTTGGCTGATTGGTGCGGCAGTCCCGTGTTCCCCGAATCATGCACCCCGTTTAAGCATGCACCCCGTTGCACCCCGTTTAAGCACGGCCCCGCAACGTGGCTCCTATGACTCCACGTCAAACACACACACACATCTTGCGTGCGTCGCACAGCTCAGGTATCTTTATGGCAGTCGCGTGCTGCCTGTCATATCGCTCGCCGGGTTGGCGTGCTGCCAAATCGCCCGATCGGCTGACCCCGGGCCGCGTCTGCGGCCTACTTCCGGCCGCGTTCCGCGCGCGACCTGTCCGGCTCACGTGTGCGGCGCAGGCTGACACCTGTGTCGCTGCCATTGTCAGCGCGCCGGTGGTGTCGTCTGCGTTGTTCGCGCGTCGATGTATTGATTATCGTGTCGTCTGCCTGCCCCTGGTCCGTGAGGGCGCCACCTCCTAACATGCGGGAAGCGTTGCGGTGTCTCCGCCGGTTATGACAAGACGAGACCGGCGCTTTTGGCGCGGCTGGGGGAGCACCGCGATGGTATTTTTGCGCCGTCAGGCTCTCGTTATTTTTGATAAACGACGCGCAAATTGGACGTCGAGGCAGGTGAAAAAGTGGGCCGCGGGTGGTGGCTGTGTAAAACAGAAAACGATGCTGTCCATCCATTGCGAGGAAGGACCGTATGGCTTATTTTCGGTTGCAGCGGACATGTCACAAGTAATGGGCCAGGTGTGCCGAGGATGCCACTCGGTCAGCACCGCGACACGTGCACAAATTATACACGCAAAATCCTCGCAAAGCTCTCGCCAATCCCCTTTCATTCGTGGACAGCGTCGGCAGGCGAGCCCATCGCTCCACCCTGTCCTACTGTCGTATGCAGCGTAACGCTCCTGCAATATGCAGCGCAGGGCGGCGGCCGGGGCAGCGACTGGCGTGGCCGTGCGCGACTGGTGCGGCGCCCGCGGCCCTGACCCTTGACCTTTCGTGGCGAGGTCGCGGCCGTGGACGGTTTCTCTGCCGCGGCCGACGTTTGGCTGGGCGCCCGGTGGCGGGCGACGCCATGGAAGCGCTCATGGACGTTGTTTGCGTACGGGTCCATGCTCGGCGCTTTCTGCGACGTTCATGCTCGCCCGCGCGGGACGCCGCGTGGTGGACATTGGCTCAGTATTTGGCCACTTGTTTGGGGGGTGGGGGATGGGATGTCGATATTTGTTCTTGGTATTACACCCCCGTCTCAGAGTCACTGCCGGTTTCTCCTCTCTCTGCTCAAGATCGGCCGATCAACCCGCAGGGGCGTCGGCTTCGGCCGGTGTAAGGGGAGTAGCGCCCCCTCAGGTCCCAGCTCCGGTAGCGGCTGGACAGCGCAAGGCGTTCATTTCAGGGCCTAACGACCCTGCCGGAACGTGATTTCCTGTTGCCTGTCCCGTCCCATCACCCGCATTCCCGCATCCGGCCCTCTTATCACCCCTCATCCTCGTTTTATCGGGGTCGCCGTGTCCTCTCGCCCGCCTCCCCGGATTGATTAGATCCTGGTGGCTGAGGGGCTCGTCGTGCGGATTAGTCACGGCGCGTCCCGGCACTCCATTTTCTCCAGGGTATCCGGAGGCGCGGGGGAGGGGGGGCGTGGGGCCCACAAGGGTCTAGCGGCTTGTCGCTCGCGCCGCGGCTGGGTGCTTTGCGAGGGTTTCCGCTTGGGGCGCCTGGCCGCGCGCAGTGACATAAGAGGTCAGGGGGCGATGGCACTGAACCACAGTCGGGACGGGCCACCACGAGACGAGGAGAGAGGAGGGTGTGCTCTGTAGGTTGCGTACTGGCCACACGTGCGAGACTCACCGATACGTGCTGTGTAGTGGTGGCAGACCCCGATGCCCACCCTGGCCAGCGTTCCCCAACGTGCACCACGTGGTTCAACTGGGTCCACTTGACGTCCAGGAGCGTTCATGCTTCTTGGGGCGAAATGCTATGTCCCTTACGTCAAGCGGTATTCTTGATGGTCATTCGCATCTGCTTGATGGTGGCCAGCTGTTTTCATTCCGTACAAAAAATTGGATTCTGCTATTTACACTCACCTCGTTTATTAAATAACGATGTCATTGACGCCATATGACCTCTGCAGTCGGTGCGCCCTGATGCCCTTATTAGCAACAATAAAAACGAACGGCCAATCAGTATCGAGCTGGGCGGCGGTAACCCAGCAACTAGGCGCCTCGGGCTTGGCAGCATCTAGGCGCCTCAGGTTTGGCAGCATCTTGGCGCCTGAGGCTTGGCAAATTGGCCGGGCAGGTCAGCTATCAGGATTTGAGGTCAAAGGACAACGGATTGACAGCCGACAAATTGTGCGAAGAGAGGTCGCCAGATAACTGGAATTCTGGTGCCGCGAATTTATATTTTCCTCCTACATACCCTACCAGATGGGTTTTGCATCGCTAGTGGCGCGTGTTCATCTCTGCTTGTTTTTGCAACGGGTTGTATAACCGGACGCTGGTGGTCATGTCAGATGGTCATGTCTGTCACGTCGGTCTTTTGTTGACGGGAGCACGATTAACGGCCGACAAACGCCCCTGCGCGAGCGGGCTGTCGTGTGGCGAGCCAGCGTGCTCTGCGTTGGGGCGTAGACGCGCCGTGTGGCGCTGCTCGTTGGGGGAAACTTTCCCCGACCAACTGGGGTTTTGTCCCCGACGGGAGGCTGTTGGTCGTGGGTGTTAAGTGCTGACTTCTGGCCCACTTGAGCAGTCATTTTGTTAGGTTTTTGTTGCGTAGCTGGGATAAACGCTGAATGGTCATCGCTCGTTCGAAGTCATAATCGGTTTCGGTCAAAATCTGTTAGAAAAGAGGCAATAGATTGCCACTTCCAATTCGTGCATATTTTTCTTCAAATAAAGGGCGCGTTTCAGGCATACGCATTGATATCTTATGACAGCTAAGCAACGCAGAACGCCAAATAGACGGGAAACGCAATCTAAGCAGGCGGCGCAGTGTCGCGGCGGTTTGGGACTCACTCGGACAGGGTCTCAAAGCGAACTAATGAAAGTTACTAACCCTTCACCTGACTGATAACCAACGAATGCAAAGTTAAACCGTGCGGCGTCGCGGGGGGGGGGGGGGGGGTATAAGAGCTGTGTACGCCAACTCTCCTGTGGTTTTTGTGTATCTTGCGCGAGCGACATCAAGGTGCTGAAACGCATCGCTACGCAATCTGCCGAGCACAGCCATAGCACATTTCTCTCATTGCTAACCATCTCTCATTTCCGTACGGCTCGTTTCCTGAATGGCCGGCTCTGACGCGAGCCGGCGTCGCCATGCTGTACGGCGCCATGCCCCGCTGACATGTCGACGGCCTGTGGAGAATGTAAACAGCCAATCCGCGGGGAATGCGGGCGTGATGGGGTTATTTGCGCCGATGATGAGCTTGGCGGCCGGATCAGCTTGTTACTGCCCTGATGACCACGTGCTGATGTGCCTACGGTATCTTGCGAGTGCGCGTGTGTGTCTGTGTGTTGTGGGTGTGGCGGCAGCAGGACGCAGAACCGACGATAACTGATCATGACGCGCATTCCTCGGGCTTTCCTTCGACCGAGTGTTGTGGTGGCTGCACACGTATGCGGGATGTGGACGGGATGCTACAACAGCACACACAGTAGCATCAAGCTGAATGGATAGTGCCGTACTTAAGTCTTACCTGTGCTTGTATCTGTATGTTTTTGGACATCATTTGAATCTCGCAGACGTCCGGTTGGTGCAGCCTGTTGGCTGCAAAGCTTGCAATTTTGTCCTCTTTTGCAGGGGTGCGTTTTCCATTGTGCGAAGATGCGTGCAAAAGTCGACGGGGCTGGAATTCGCGGCCAAAATCATCAACACCAAGAAGCTCTCCGCCCGGGGTAAGTGCTCGCTGTACAGCTAATCGACACCCTCCTGTTGGGTTGCCAACCAGGTTATGTGCTTGATATTAGCGAGAAGGCTTTAAACTACTGTACTTTTATTTTACATGATCAGCTCGGAGCTCTTATGCTAACAGCAACGGGCTCTCAAACTGGGATCGCTTGTGATCACAGGCGCAGCTTGAAGCGCCGTGTCTGAATCATATAGCCGAGGTTGGCTTAGTAACTCCCTTAACGAATAAGTCCTAATATGAAGATCGACAACTCCAAGCATAATGGCTCTGAACTGATGCTGCCAGGTCATGGGGCAGGCTTTGCGCGATGAACGAGGGCAGGGTCCGTGGAGCCAAACTGTGTCCCGAACTGGGTGGTGGTGCACTGGGACTGAACTGGGAGGTGCGCACCTCTACCGCCTCATCATCTGCTTCGCTGCTCTCATCATCTGCTGCTTCCAAAAACCTTCATCGTCATCATTATTTGTGTTGCGGTTGGCCGACTAGGCACCTAATGTCTTGCCGTTGCTCAGTTGTGTTTTGACAGATCTTCCAAGAGACTCCGACTCTTATAAGATCAATATTTCTGAACGTCGTAGAACAGCATCGTTAGCCGTGGAATGGTCTTATCCACGCTATCGTTGCTGATTAGTGGTTACGTGGTTGATTAGTGGGTACAAAGTGGCGCCCTTTTTCATTGCTTAATTTGTATTGGTATGTCCTTAGCCAAAGACTTAAATCGATGTCGCTGATAAGGTAAAGAGGATATGACTCACCATCGATATGGTGCACCATCGATATGGTTCACGATCGATATGGTCGCGTAGAGTTCGGCACAGCACTTTTCCTACCGCTTCGGCAATGGTGGTTTATCGTCGAGTGTCTTTCAGCGGTATTTCCCTATCGCTACCCTCCCGGTGACAGTGACCCCGACTTCGTCTGCAGTTTTCGACCCTTCAACCCTCTTCCGCGGGACACTTACCCTGGGCCCTACCTGTGGGCGCGGGAGTGGTTGTCCGGGGTTTGTCGCGGACTGTCCACGAATCACCCGTCATCACTCGCTTGCTGACTTCCATGGCTCTAGCCCTGAGCCCGCCTCTGGTCCCCATTCCCAACACGTGACCTCCCCTCCCCATCCCCTGAGCCCGCCTCTGGTCCCCATTCCCAACGCGTGACCTCCCCTCCCCACCCCCTGAGTCCGCCTCTGATCCCCATTCCCGCCACGTGACCTCCCCTCCCCAGCCCCTGAGCCCGCCTCTGATCACGATCTCCAGCACCTGACTCCCCCGCTGCAAACCCTGGATGCGCCTCTGATTGTTCGCGTCGCGCTTCTCCCGCGCGGAGGAGCCCCGGCCGGGCTGAAGGTCAAGCGGCGGCCGGCCGCGCTGACCGGCGCGCCGTCGGCCGTGTACACTTCCGCGCCCACCCGCAATCGGCCCGCCGCGCGCCCGCGCGCCCGACACGGCCGCCAAATCGTGCCAGACGCATTCCGAGGATTCTGCGGCGGGCCACGTGAACCGAAGCCCGCTTGCGTGACGTCACCGGGACGCGCGCCAGCGGCGCAGGTGGGGCGGTGGACGTGGCTCAGCTGCCGCGCCGGTTCGGCCGACAGGCTTTGGGAGATCGGATGCGGCTTGCGTGCGCTCGTTAGTTGTTAAATCGCTGTTAAATCGTTGCTAAATCGCTGGGTGGCGGATTCATAGCGGGCAGATGTATCATATCATTCGATCATAGCAGGTCATCAGGTCATACCAAGTCATGTCGGGATCGCGTCACGATGCCATTGCGGTTGACACGCTGGGAACCTAGCGAGAACACAACGCTGAAGATGCGCTAACGTGTGCAAGTGACGTGCGTTGCTTCGAGTTCATATGCGGTGCAGTTCCGGCCTTTGTACGTTGTTGTAGTTGTCAATATTTTTCCTTTTTCATGGACCAGGCAGCGCGATTGCCATTTGATGTGTAACTTGACTGCAAAATGGAGGTTCTTTTGCGGCTAGTAGGAATACGACTCGGCGTTTTTCGTAGTGTTCCCATCTTTATCACGTGCATTAAACGTGTTACACTTCTGAAATGCACTTTCCGTTTTCGATGTTTGGCGCTGAATATAAGCCGCGGTCAGGCAGGGTGACGACCCGGACCTTCCCGCCAGCTGTCCCGCGGGCAGGCGGGGTGATGACTCGGACCTTCCCGCCAGCTGTCCCGCGGGCAGGCGGTGTGACGACTCGGACCTTCCCGCCAGCTGTCCCGCGGGCAGGCGGGGTGACGACTCGGACCTTCCCGCCAGCTGTCCCGCGGGCAGGCGGGGTGACGACTCGGACCTTCCCGCCAGCTGTCCCGCGATCAGGCGGGGTGACGACTCGGACCTTCCCGCCAGCTGTCCCGCGGTCAGGCAGGGTGACGACCCGGACCTTCCCGCCAGCTGTCCCGCGATCAGGCAGGGTGACGACTCGGACCTTCCCGCCAGCTATCCTGCGGTCAGGCAGGGTGACGACTCGGACCTTCCCGCCAGCTGTCCCGCGGGCAGGCGGTGTGACGACTCGGACCTTCCCGCCAGCTGTCCCGCGGGCAGGCGGGGTGACGACTCGGACCTTCCCGCCAGCTGTCTGCGCCGGCTGCGGGCCGCCGATGCGAACTGTGGCCGCTCGGAGGGAGGGGGCGTCTCTTGGCCGCCCCGCCGGGCTGGGACACGCTATGTGTACCTTGGCCCGCACGCTGCCAAATTACCGGGCGGCACGCTGGGCACGTTCGTTCCCCCTTGCCCGGCGAGGACGTGTCAGGACCGCCCGTCCCTTGCCGTCAGTCGGCCTCCCCCCCTCCCCCCCCCCCGCTCCTGACGTCTGATCAGCTGTTTGGGGTGGTCCGGTCAGTAGGTTTGGCGAATGTTTAGATGGGCGCGAGCCGACCGCTGTAGTCGACACAGTCACAGACATCAAAGCGGCGCCGGTACACCGTTCATAGGTTACCCTCGTGTCTCGAGCGGTGACGAATCTGTAGCTATATCCTTATGTTGTGCATTATAGACAAAATGCAATGCACTACATGCATAGGTAAATGTTCGTGTTCAATGTATGCTACGTTACTTATGTTATAAATTAAACGTGAGAGATACGTTGCAGCATTGCTTCGAAGGCTCATATGGGATGCTGTGGGCCTATGTTGCAGCGCCACGTAAAGTTGAAGTGGGATTTTCGGAGCCCTGTCAGCGGAGGGCAGATCTACGAATATTTTAGTTGACCTGACACTGCATTCGCAAATCATATCTTTCCGTCATTCTGAGCTCTAAAATAAAAACACCGACGAGAAAAGGCCAAACTAAGCTCGGGAAACTAACCTTGGCAGCAAGTTTTCTCTGATTGGTCTTCACGCACTATCACGAATTCTGAAGTGATGGCCACAAGTTCCGCTTAAAAGTCAGTTGCTACATGCGCCACGAACGGGTCACGATAAACTTATTATTAAGAGGTTGTAATGGCCCTTCTTCCCCTCCCCTTCGACGCCCGTGACCGGTATAGCCTAGCCCTGACCCCTGACCTGGTCTGGTGTCGCTGGATGCGGCGTACCACATGCCAATGACCCCTGGCCTTTGCCCGGTCTGGACGGCGGGCGGTTTTTCCGCGGCAGTGATGGATTAACGTCGCTCCCAGCCGTACACGGAGGCCCGTCTCTGCACTATATGACCACTGGCGGCGGCACAGCGCGGCTCTGGGAGACGGACGCCGTCGTTGGACCCGTGCTGCCGGGAGTCCTGTGGCGCCGGGCATGTGCGTATGCCGCAAACATGCATACAGCACACGCATGCGGTGGTGGTGGTCGCGGTCATTGAAGCTTTACAACAGCTCAGCTGACAGCTGCTGGGGCTAAAGGGTGGCGCCTGGCTCTCACACTGGCAGAAAGAACGGACACCGCGGGAATCGAACCACGTACATCTTCTCTCCCAGACGCACAGCGGTTAACGCAAACGCGGCAACCACTTCACAATCAGCAACCTTGCACGCGGCAGTCAGGGAATCTTTACAGATGGAATAAGACGATGTATTAGGATTATAAATGCGACAGCTGTGACACAATGGTCCTTCATGTAGCGTCGGGTATGTGTGCGTGCCTCATGCATGTATACAGCACACGCATGCGGCGGTGGTGGTTGTGGTCATGGGGTCTGTATAAGGACTGACGGCTGCTGAGGTCGGCTATAGGGCGGCCCCTGACTCACAATCAAACCCTGTACCTCTTCTTTTCCAGACGCGCAAACGCGACAACCACTACCTTTAAGCAACCCTGCATGCGGCGGTCACGAAGCCTTTACAAATGGACTGAGGACGATGTGTTCGGATTACGAATGCGGTAGTTGTGACACAATGGGCCTCGTGTGGTGTGCTGGTATGGACACGTATGTGTATGCCAATACCGCGGTATTACCAGTACAGACATTCTACGCATACATGCATACAGTGCATTTTACTAATGCTATAAATTCTATCCATGATCATGCATCTGTAATCCTATGCATCACACTGCTGCCAAAAGCATTCGGAAAGACGGATCGCCGCACGGCCTACATCAGTCGATGCGCCCTACCCCCCCCCCCCCCCTCCCGGAAGAACGGATCGTTGGTTGTTCGTTTTTCCGACTTCAGTTCTTCTTCTTCAGACCTCAAATTTCAGATTCAGATTCTTCAGACTTCCGGGACCAAACGCGCTCTCAAGCGGCAGCATTGTCTGAGATTGTTTGGGAGTTGAACTTCGGGCGAACCGATTTAGTGCTCGATGTTTGAGATTGCGCACGGACTTGCTTGAAAGAAGCATCCTTCTTGCCAAAGCGAATTCAGCACGAAATTCTGGCCGTGAAATCGTTCGCACGCGCTTTTATTTTGGCCCGTGGTGGAGTATTTTCGGTTCTCTAAGTTAGGTTTTCCACTTCGGTGGCCCGGTTGTCCTGGGAGTGCTCATTTGTCTTCGTTCCGACACTTTCTAACTTGTCGGTAGAACTTTGGCGACAGTCCAAACTTCACGACTTAGACCTCGGATCACGTTGTGGGTTTTGCATTGAGTGGCGGCTCTGAAGTCGAGGCCGCCTTATGTCATTGACTGAACGGAGTTAATCCCGAGTTACTCACTCAGTGGCGGACTCGGCCAATGCTGCATTCAACACATCCGCATTAGAGTCGGCAAACACGGCGTTCAATACGTTCGCAGTTTCCGGACCGTTGCGGTCGAGACCACCTAACGCCTGTTCACCGGCCGGAGGGCTTTGCGAATGGAGGCCATGACCCCGGCGCACCGGGGGTCATAGGGGTCACTTCGTCCGGGGTCGGGCGCGGCATCGGGGACTGGTCGCGGTGCCCTGTTGACCCCAGAGCTGCCGCCGGGAGCACTGGGGTCACGGCTGCCGCTCTGCACCGCGACCTCTGCTCCAAAGGGGTGCCAAGCACGACCCTGCCGGCGGGCTGTCCGAGCCAGAACGGCACCACTCTGGCTGATCACTGACCCGCGGGAGCTGACCTCCGCCCGTACCCAGTTGTCAGTCGCACCGACACTGGTGTAACCTGTGGCGTACCCTCACTGTGCGACACAGGCCACGTGGTGTATGGGCGGATACATGTATGTGCATATATATATATATATATATATATATATATATATATATATATATACACGTCTACGTCTACGTCTACATGCGTATACGCTTATGCGTGTGCGAACAATTTTGCCTGCGTACCTCGGTCTCAGGAGTTGTTGTGACCCCTCCGCTCCGTGTCTGGATCGCGAGAGAGGCTATGAATCGGTGCACACGCATGGTGACAGGCATCAGCCTTGCCGTGAGCCCGCAACCCCGGCCCCGTCGTGATCCGCCGGCCATCCCAGCCATGATCCCTGCCTCCTAACGCGGATCCGTGACGCCGATCCGGGCCCCTCTCTCCACCGGAGTTCGTGGTGTTGGTGCGACCTCAACAGGTGTTGACCTGATGTGACCTGACCTGGCGTAACAGTGGTGCTTGCGTGGGGATTACCATGTCCGGGGATCAGTGCTGACCTGGTCTGGTGTAGCGTTGCTGACCGGCGTCCCCTTCGTTGCAGACTTCCAGAAGCTGGAGCGCGAAGCCCGGATATGCCGCAAGCTGCAGCACCCCAACATTGGTGAGTGTCCACTCTGTCTGTCTGTCTGTCTGTCTGTCTGTCTGTCTGTCTGTCTGTCTGTCTGTCTGTCTGTCTGTCTGACTGACTGGCTGGCTGGCTGGCTGGGTGGCTGGCTGGCTGGCTGGCTGGCTGGCTGGCCGGCACAACCCGCCGGCGTTTCTGTTTCCAGTTTTTGTTAGTTTTTTTTTTACTGAGAAAGCCGGTGGGATCTGAAGGCATGGTGTGGTAGGAGTACATGGTTTTCCAAAGGCACGATAATTGCTGTCGTTTCTTCCTAATGTGAACTGTGTAATAAGGGGGTCGTTTTTTACAACACCGCGTAAGATCTCAATACAAATGCTAGTGGTACAGCTCAATGGCTCAGTTAAGATGTGGACAGTTTGCTTTTGTTATACGATAATCATCTGCGAAATATAAATCCAAGTATCACGTTAAATGTCGACAGAATGTCGATGAACATTGCTCACTGACATGGTTGGTGTAATGCAGGCAAAATACTTTGTTTTAGAGGTTTTTTTTCTCAGGTACAATTGTGTCCTAGAAATTCCATGCCTAATTATGCTAACCTCCTTTCTCTTCGCTGCCGTTTTAACATACTTTATTTTTGCTGTTCAGAGCGATAGTAAGAAAACAATTGCAAAAATAGCATATAGGTCACGGCGAAAACAAATTGCGCATCACATAATTTTGTGCCGACTGTTTTACTTGACAAAAGTTTTCGCCTCTGCCCGGTCCAGCTGGGATTTGTCATAAATCACGTGTGAATAAGAAGACGAAAGACCCATGTGTACAACTGCGGCATCGACGACCGATTATCTTAATTAGTTACGAAAAATAGGTCGGCCCTGTTCAAGCGTTTTTTCGACGCCCAGTGGCATCCGGCGACTCGGACAGAACACGCTCGACCTCAGACCGCGATACTGTGAGTTCGATCCGCACGGTCCGCGATGTTTTAGTTTGCCGGATGGTAGCCAACGTGAGACATGTCGACGCTTCAGGCCACGTGAAGGACGCCGATGGGGGAGTGGTACAGGGTTCGATTCCCCGCGGTGCCCGCCTTTTCTGCCTGAGTGAGAGGCAGGCGACGCCACGTAGCCTCAGCAGCTGAGTGCGTCGTAAAGCCCCCATGACGGAGGCAGTCGACGTGGGATATGTCGACGTAGCTTGTCATAGAAGATGCGCGTGTTGTAAAGTAATCCAGTAACTCACCGATGCAAATTGAATGGTAAAATAACGTAGGGGAGAAAGTGCTTCTGCGAAGTTTGCGCTGCCGTGGATTTGTCAAGCCGTGTCTTGCCGGCGCGCCTAGCCCTGCTGTTTGGTATTACCCTTGGCTGTCTCTCAGTCACCGCTTGAAACGGCCTGTTTTTGTCACGGTCGCGGCGGCGTCACGTCCTGTCACGGGCACAAGGGCAGCCCGTGCAGTCCACGACCGCGATTGCCTCGCCGTCTGTTCGTGCGCCGCAGCGGCGGCTCTGGTCCGTGCCCAGACCGCAGCCCTCATATGCGAGCGTGGCAGTCGCACCCGAGCTAGGCTCATGCCTGTCAGCCCGTCCACCGCCGGCGCACAAAGCCCGTCGCGAGCCCAGTGTGCCGCTGTACATTTGCTTCGTTCCCTCCGAGCTTATGTTAATGATGCTGGACGCCGTGCATTCTGTGCGAGGAGCTGCCAGCTAATTGTGACGTCACAGTGCTGAGCATTCAAGACGCTGTGTCCCGGCTTAGCGCCCCAAGCCGGGGCTTCAAGAGAGCCGGGCGGCGTGCGGGCACGGGTGAGGAATGTCCTGTGGGAGATGTGAATCCGGTTGAAGTTGTCTGCCTCCTCCCGGTGCGGGCCGGCGTAAAATCCATCGCAGCAGTGATGCCACGCGGTGATCAAAATTTTGCTGAGACAAAAAGCGACGCTGACCGGTTCGTTATTCGGTCGGCTATTGGGTGCGTTTCCGGTGAAGCTTTGGGCAAGCAATTTTGGAACATTAGATATAGGTTGTTGTTACTGGAGGGGCGGATATTCGTGAACAAAACATTACAGCTATCCTCGCTTCCAAGCCATGTAAAGCGGCGCAGCGGTGGTTTTGTGGCGTAGAGAGTGGATAGCGGCACGATAAGAGAAAAATGTGGATTATTTCAAAGCTGCCATGCGGTTTTCCTGTGTTGTGGTTGCATTGTGTATCCACTTAAGACAGAAAACACCATTTGAGAGACTGTCTCTGGTTCTTCAATGAGAAATACAACATTGTGGCGATTGTGACACAATCGAATGATGTTTGAGCTCGCGTACGCTGTAATGAACTTACGCTTCCCATGACTTAACTCACGCCCGGGTGACCGGTTAGATACCCATGACTTAACTCACGCCCGGGTGACCGGTTAGATACCCTTCGCTCGGGTGGAGTGCGGGGTCAATTTGACCCCCCTGAGATCTCAGGAACTAAGAGAGCTAGTACGTTAAATTTACAGAGTGTGTTGACCTGTGCGTAAACTCACTTAGCTCAAAGTTTGAGGTTCCTAGGTCATGACCTTTTGGTCAAATAAGGTCAAACAAGGTCAAATTCCAGGTTGGTCTCCAAAGTGCTTCTAGAACCTAGATAACTGTTTTAAGCAAAATGTCACATGATCAGTTAAGGTCATTGACCTTGTTTGACCTTAAGAAGGTCATGGCGACCAAAATCATGCAAGACTGCTCTGAGTTTTGCACTTGAATTAGCGACAAAGATTACGCTAGGCAGTATGCTCCTAAAAACAAAATGTTGACCAGGGTGATTTTAAGTCGTTGACCTATTCTGACCTTTAAGAAGTCCATGGAAGATGTATAATGCGGTTTCCGTTATCAATAAACTCGAAATGAGCACCAAAATCTGCCTCATACTGCAAGCTCTGCAGCAATAAAACATATTTTTTTGACCTTGGTCTGATTTCGGTACGTGACCCTACGTCAATGGATTTGTTTTTTTTCTTCAATTTTTGTGTTACCTCAAACTATTCTACAGGTGTATGGCTTCGTCTAACACTCCGTCGTTGCATCAGATTGGACGATTCCTTAGAAATTGACTTCGCTGAAACCATGGCCGATCTGCCATAGGTCAGCGACCTTATAAGGTACATCTAAATGTTTAATGCCAAACGATCCGCCATTTTATTGTCGACACCTGTGGAAAAATTAGGCGCGGCTGCGCCGCACTGTTCGGAAACCATTCTGGAAAACCTTCGGGGAGGAGGCAATTTGCCCTCCTCTGTAAACAGCAAGCTTCCACACGGATGGGTCGTGACCCGGTGGCCTGTAATTTTTGGAATTTGCGATGGCGCATGCCAGACTTCCTTCTGAAAACTGCGTGGGTGGCGGAGACTGGCGCCTGGCGGCCGGACACTTCCATGCGGTGGAAGGTAGAGCCCTGTTGGTGGCTTCACGTGTGGCAGCTTGGAGTCAGAAGTCCCCGAGTCGGCAGTCCCCGATTCAGCAGTCCCCGAGTCAGCAGTCCCTGAGTCGGCAGTCCCCGATTCAACAGTCCGTGGGTAGGCACTCCCCGAGTCAGCAGTCCCCGAGTCGGCAGTCCTTAACCCGTCAGCAGTCCCCGATTCAGCGGTCCCCGAGTCAACAAGCCCCGAGCCAGTAGCACCACAGAATCCAACTCGAAAAGCCGCCTCTCTTTCCGCTAGCCGTTGCCTCCGAGAGCGTTGGGGGGGGGGGGGGGGTGGCGCCCGGCACGTGATGCCGGCCGCCGGTGCCGACGTTCCGTTGGGCGTTTCCCACGGGGACGCGCGCCTGATGAATTTCATCCTCATCCGGTCGGCGGAAGGGCGCTCTCTCGCGCAGCCTCCGCCGCCGCCGAATGGCTGACGAGGTCGACGGCGACCGCGGCGGCGCTAGCGGCAAGACGCGGCGCGACGCTTAGGCCGTCCATGCTCGGCGCCTGGCCGATGGGCCGCCGCGTCGTTGTCGCTGCCGTTGCTCCGCGTTGTCGTCGTTGCGCTCGGCCGGCGGGCGGCCCTGGCGCGGCTGTTTCGGCGCGGCGGCGGCGCTCGGCGGCGCCAGTCCCGTGCCGGTCGCGCCTCCCCGATGTTATCATTGTTTTGGCTACCCGCGCTCGTGACGGCGCCTCTTTGTCGAGCATTGCTGGCTGCGCTCGTTTGGCCGTGGTGACGAGCGCGTAATGGTTTGGAAGAGACTGGGGGAAAGTGGAGAAAACTGTGGGGCGGGGGGAGGGGGCCGAACGTTGGCTCAGACTTCTCTGGCATGCCTCTCTTGCATGCCTCACTCCATAGGACCCAACAAGCACGATCTTCGCACAGGAAGCATTGTTCAGTGCAAGTTTATGTAAGAAAAGCGGGTGGAAGGTACACTGCTGGTGTCTCAAACGGTACGCATGTGGAGCGAACGCCTTCGGGTGGCGATGCTGCTCCGGGCGTCCGGCAGTTCGCAACGCTCAGCAGACAACGCGTGCCAAGCTGGCCGACAGACCATTCAGTCACGGAGGTGCACCTGCGCCTGTTGCCAGCCAACACCCGCAACAGCGTCCGCCCGCGGTGAGCGGCGATGCGCCTGCAGCAGCGTCGGCAGCCGGACACGCCTGCTGCTGGGGCTGGTCATCCGCGGCGACGCAGCGCGGACAGAGGCATTTATTTCCGGGCGACTACGCCCCGCCGCCATCGCCGCCATCCATCTCCATTGCCAGCCGCCGAGCACCGGATATCATGCAGTTGGGACTGTACGCTGGCAATGATCGCGGCTTGTCGCATGCCTTTATGATCTTTATGATCGTGCGCCGACGGGTGGCGGCCGTCGATAGCCGTGTCCTGAGGCGATCAGCAGGGCCGTCACGCCGCTGATGATGAGCCGGTCGGCCGGGCAACAAGGCGTGTGGGCAGGAGCGCACCCAGCGCCGCTAGCAGGGGAGGATGCAGGTGCGCCACGAGCGGAATCTGGATTGGGATCACGGCTCGTTTCAGACTTTCGTACCCAGCATACAATATTGATGTGCCGCAGTACATCTGCAGTCTTG